AACGAATCGAAAGGGTCTTCCTCCAGGATCTTCCATCTTCGTGTTCGAAAGCAAGGAAATCAGGGCCAGAGATAGGAGAGGTTCTTCCATCCCCCCCCACCATGTTCCGTGTGACATTCTTTACTACGGTATTTATTCAGAAGAGTGCAGACCACTTCGGGGCGCCTCAATTCACTCCCCAACGGCCTTAGGTAAGTTCCATCGTCTCTAATTTATTCACTTCATATTGTGCATAAATTGTGATCTTAAACTTGTCTTCCCTAATTTGCATTTTGGATTGTAAATTTATGTTCTTTCTTTGTATTTCCAGCTTTAAAAAATGATGATCTGGGTATCTAATGTGAATGTCTAAACAACAGCTTTTAGGCAACCATAGTTCTCTCTCATTTATTCTGGTAATCAAACGATGTAGCCATTGTTCAACCTGCAGCAATAGCAAGTACACGGATATCAGGATATGATACATAACTCAAATCAAGTGAAACAAATTGTAAGCAAAACAGTATAATAATTGATATATGTGTAGAAAAGTAAGCACACAAGAAGTTAAAGTTTTTGGGTTCAGGTGTCTTTGGTATGTAAATTAGAGCTATGTTAAATGATCTATTTTTTTCTAAGTTGTAAATGTTGGACTAAACCCTTTAATACTTCAAAGTACTTTTAACGTGTTAATACATCCACCAATAACAACGAACCATATAACATCACAAAAAGTGACAATAGGAGAAACTGAAGTGAAAACAGTGAAATTTAAGTTTGTTACTGCCCCAAAACCATAAAAGTTGCATCATGGTATACTCAGGTTGCATGTCTGAGTAATATAAATATTTTGATAAATGTTAAATACACTACACTTTATTTCAAAAAGGAGCAAATGTTATAAATTAAAGTGTAGGCTATGTATCTTTATTTCCCACATTGCAGTTTCCTCTGCTTCCTCTACTTGTGTCTCCACTCTCCAAGATATGAATTATGAAATATCCATCACAGAGGAGTTTTTTTTTTTATGTTTAGGGCATACAAATGAAGACGATAATGCTTCCTTTTGAGCCAAAGCACATATTTGAAAATATTTAAAATATGAAGCATTATTACTTATTTATTTACAAATGAAGACGATATGCTATTTTTGAATGTTTAGTGAGTATACAAGAAATATAATGGGCTTATTAAAGAGTCTGATAGTTTTTATCTTTTGTATTGATCTAAACAGGTATGTTATTATTCTCTTATATCCTTAACCAACCTTGGCACTTGTAGCGTGCTTTTCAACAGGGAGAGCTATTCAATAGGGAAAAAATGTATGCCGATGGCTCACTTCACACCGGCCATTGGAGTTGGTTGTTTGCTCCCCTGTATAACTGCTATTGCAGATGTTTAGGCCTTTTCATGTCCCGTAAAGAGTTTTTTTTTTTTTTGCACAATTCTATAATTTTAACTTGTCTTTTATTCTTGAGTTGTGCTCTATTAGATCTCTGGCTTTGGGGGTATGCCCCTATGTCTTTTATTCTATAATGTACATTCATGTACATTCATTTAGCCATTTTTTTTTATTATAAATAAATCATGCCAAACACATATATTTCATTTAGGTAATCTTATGAAATTAACCCAATAATTATAAGTGTTGGTCCAAAATAGGACGCTCGTAGGCTTTTAGGAAAGCTACGAAAGAACACTCAAGCAAGAATCAAGAATATAATACGAGAATGGAAAGTTGCTCAGGAATTTTAGTTGCCAAGAATAGCATGTCTATTATTTGAATCGGACTTGCCTTTTATAGGCGATTACAAATGGTAACTGCCGAATAATAATGACTAAATTAATTACAATATTAATACGGAATTTAATACATGATTAATGGTGCATTGATTGTTGGCTGTTACGCTTCTTGGCTGGCTGGCTGGCGGGTCGGCCTGGCTGGCGGTTCGGACGCTTGAGCTTCTCGGGCGGCAGGCTTCCGTCGGGCTGGAAGGCCGGCTCCTAGCTAGGCCGCAAGGCAGGCTTCCGGTTGGCCGGCAGGCAGGCCGTCTTGGGCTTCCACTCCCTAACGGGCCCGGTTGGTTGGGTCGACTTGATATCTGGATCGCTGGGTCCACTAGCTGGGCTTGCCTGACGAGACGACAGTCCTGGGCTTGGGCCTGCTCATCCAAGTTTGGGGCCAAGTCTGATTAGGCGTTGGGCCTAGTCCTATAATCCCATCACGAGTCCCCCACTCCCTTAGTCGAGTAGTAGACTCGGCTAAGAGGGAGTAGTCCAAGTCAGCTGTCAATTAAAAAATACTCACATACCAGGGAGCAATACTTGTGGATTCTGTCAATCTCACAATTTATGGAAATTTTCCAATTTTAAGTAAAGCTCTCAGCTTAAGAAGGCTTTAAATTAATTCCCTCACATCCTAGCATTCCAACAGTCAGCTTTCTTCCAGACTCTAGAATACAGGTCAGCCTCCGAAAATTCCTGAGATTCATCATAATTATTTTTTATGATTATTTTCGGACCTTATTTTTTTTTCTCTTCTTTCCTTTTCTTTTCTTTCCTTCTCTTTTCTTTCCTTTTCTTTTCTTTCCTTCTCTTTTCTTTCCTTTTCTTTTCTTTCCTTTCTTTTCTTCTCTTTCCTTTCTTTTCCTTCTCTCTCTCCTGGTCCCTGCACGCGTGCGTCCGCCTCCCGTCGACCCAGCGCCGCAGCCAACCCCAGCGCTGACCGCCGCCTGACCACCCCTTCAATTTCAGTCGGCCGGCGGTTGCCCTGTACTTCCCACCGGCGGACAGCTCCGTCTTTGAAGTACGGCGGCAGTCCGACGCGGCTCTGTGGCGGCCGGCGTCGACGGTGAATCCTGGAACATGGCGGCTGCCTTCCCCAACGACCGGCATCTCCCCAGGCCGTGGGTTCGTTCCAGAGGCCTTGTGGCTGTGTCCCCCACCGGCTGCGGCAGTCCGGTGCGGCTCAGCGGCTCAGCGGCTCCATGGCGGCCGGCGTCGACGGTCATCCTGCAGCATGGCGGCTGCCTTCCCCAACGACCGGCATCTCCCCAGGCTGGGGGTTCGTTCCAGAGGCCTTGTGGCTGGGTCCCCCACCGGCCGGCATCCCCGTCACACGGCCATGCGGCCACCGCCGCGCGTCTTGTTTTGAGCGCGCTGGGTTGGACCTGAGTTCTAGTAACTTGGGATCTCCGATTGCATGGCGGTCGCCCGGGTGTTCTCCTTCCTCCAAGCTGGCTTGGCAGCGAGGAAAACTATGCATGAGCGGGGTCCAACCCTCCCCGAGAGTTCGGACTTGGGTTCCCCAGCGCTTGGCTCCTCCTCGGCCAGATAGTGCCGGTCGGGGACCGGCGGTCGGCATTTTGCCGGTGAGCCTCGCTTGGGAAGCTGACGGGAGTCCTATCGCTAACCGGCTTCACCCCTCGTACAGGTGCTGAAGTGGGAGTGAGCCCCCTGTTGGCGCACTCCAAGTTGACAGGCGGGCATGACGCCTCGTATATGCTAACTTTCTTTTGTTTTGTTTCTGATGTGTAGGTGTGTTCCATCCCGTTTGACCATGCAACGCGGAGGGTGCTCTTCTTATCAAAGAAATGGTCAAGGCTCTCACGCAGCAATGCAAGTTGAAGTTCAGCCCCTCTCCAAGCCATCGGACTCGGGGCTGCCGGCCATCACTGAAGGGAGGCATGGGGCGGCCATGAAGCCTATACGGGCCAGCCGCGGTCCCAAACCACGTATGTATGCGGGGAAAGTTACCGGACAGCAGGCTGAGATTCTCCCAGAGGTAGCCCCAACTAGGCGGGTCACCGTTTTCGAGGGCCGACTCCTCAATGTTCCGGACAGAGCGCGCACCCAACCCGTGGACGTGTCAGATTCTGATGATGACTCTGGCACTCGGGAAGACCCGAATTCTTGGTGGGACCTTGACAGTAGTGGGATAGTAAACCTCCCCCCTTGCGTCCAAGACGAGGACCTTGCCGTGGCACGTAGTCTGATCGGTGCCGAGTGTTCATCGAAAATTCCGGAGGCTACTGAAGTACTAAGTGATCCCCCGATCCCTTATTTTGGGGTCCATATCCGCTCTCTGGAGTTAGGGATGGTTGTGCCTCTTCATCCTTTTCTGGTTCGATTTCTTCACTTCCCGGGTGTGGCACCGGGCCAACTGGCTCCGGCGGCTCACATGTTCGTGGCAGCTTTCGTGGCGCGATGCGAGGACGTGGGCCTCACTCCCACAATCGATTTGTTTTTTAGCTGCTTCCAGTGGCGCGCCTCCAGCTTTTTTGCCTCAGTCTCCCAGAGGCCGGTGAGCAAGCTATTCCGGTCGGGTTACCCTGACTCAGGTAGCCGATGGAAGAAGAGGTGGATCTGGGTGTCCGACCCTACCCTTCCATCACCTCCTTTCCAGTGGGGTGAGCGGCTCCGGAAGTGTGATCGGGTCGCCCTTTCCCCTGATCTCAAGTCATCCATCGAGGTGTTGTCCGCAGGCGGTCCCCGCTCCATCAGCTCATACTTAGGTGGTCGTCACTCCCTCAGTTTAGGTTTGGCTATTTTGTATTTCACCTTACTCATCCTCACATTTTCTTCCGCAGATGTGCCCGATAGGCCTGAGAAACATATCGCCGGTGCCGAATCCGATGATGATGACGAAGAAGCCCAGCCATTCATCGCTCGTGTAGCTCCCACGGCCACCAAGGAAAAAGAGCATGGAGCTCCCCCAAACCTTGTAGCACAGATTCCGAGGAGGGTGAGGGTCACCTTTGGGCCTCAGCCTGCCGCACCAGCGAAGAAGAAACAGAAGAGGGATATTGTTGATTTACTGGTCGAATTGGATGAGTCTGATGACGAGGAGGTGGAGCCTCACTTAGCCACTGCTCCTGTGGCCCCCCAGGTCGCTGCGGGGACAGGGCACGGAGCCCCCCTGGGCCGAGAGGGGCATGTTTTGGAAGGGGCGACTGTCACCCCCGGAATTCCAATCTGCTGGGCAGGCGCATGAAGATGCTGGTGAGAAGATGGCTGAGCGGGTTAGATGCGACACTCAGCACACAGTTGCTTACACATTCCCATCTCCGGGTGCCTCGATCATGCACGAGGGCTTCCCGGTTGTGGACTATGCCTCAGCGATCTTACCGCCGGGTGACCTTGCACGTATGACCTCACAGGGGTTTCAGCCTCTCCTGGAGGATTCCATTCGGACCCATGTTGATGTGAGTGGCCGATCACATCCCTGGCATACTCTGTTTTATCCATCGATCCCATCATATTTTGTTTGTTTTGTTTTGCAGGGACTTGCTAAGACCATTGGGGCACTCTGGGCAGCCAACCACTCTCAGGCAAAGCTCCAGCGTGAGGTTGATGAAGTTAGAGCCGCCCTACAGGCTAGGGAGAAAGCTTTCTCCGAGTTGCAACTTTTGCATGCAAGAGAGCGTGAAGAAGTGGCCAAGAAAGCGATTCTCGAGTTCAAGGCCTCCGACGAATTCCAGAAAACCATATCTGACAGGGTGGAAGCGAAGGAATCTGACTTAGTAAATAAATGGCTGAAGACTGACGAGGGGGAGTACTGGCATGCTCGTGAAGTTCTGTACGCCTTTCAGTGTGGCAAATACTTGACGCAGCGTAAATTGTATGATCAGTTGGAGGGTCTCGGCCCTGACTTCTATCCATCCGTGCTAGGCCTTCCTGCCCGCATGAAGAAACCTGAGGCTGCAATAGCCCTCTTGCCCCCAGGAGTCTACCGCCAGGAGGAGGAGTCCGGTAACTCGAACGAATGGTGCTGGTTCTTTCCAAGACCTTCGGAGGACATGGTCCCCCTTGCATCCGGTCAGCAGGAGGGAGCTCAAGAGTCCGGCCAAGACTTGGTTGCCATGTTAGATGAGATTCCCGAGGCCAATGGCAATGGGCATGTCCTGCCATGACTTTGTATTTTGCATTTTCCTTGTCTTCCACTCGTATACGTTGTGTTTTGACTGAATGTTTAATTAATTCACATATTTTGAACACATGTGTTTCTTTTCATATACTTTGCATTGCGAGTACTTAAGCAATTTTATTCGGGGATCCGGCTTCTCTATCTTCCCGGGGAGCGATTAGGCTGGCGTGGCCAAGCCTATCCGCGCCCCCTGGTCATATAGAAGTGATCTGTTCGCAACAAGTATGCGACTTGTTCGGCTAGGACGCTCCAAGTCTCGATGTCGCGGTTTCTCTGCCACCTTGGACGGCCCAGCTCGTGAGTGGTACGACTCTCTGCCTGATGGGAGTATCATGAACTTTCGCGAGTTGGATCAGCGCTTTCTCTTAAGGTTTGCGAGCTCCCGAGACGTCAAGAGGAACTTCAGCCACCTGTTCGGCCTAAAACAGGGGAAGAAGGAATCATTGTCCGCCTTCTTAGCGAGGTGGAGGGCTGAGTCAATCAAGGTCCAGGGCCTTGATGACAAGACCGGGGTGGCCATGCTCACAAACTCCATCCGGTCTGGTGAGCTCCCATTATCTACCAGGACTCGGTGGACGATGGTGTCGTTGATCTCGATCTTGATCATCAAGGCGTCCCTGTGCGGTGGCGGCATCGGTGGCAAATCTGCATCGGTGAAGAAGATGGGATCCCTCTTCACCCTCTTATCGACAGGAACTCTGGTTATTTCCCCAACGTACAAGGCTCGGGCCCATTGTTTCCGTTCTCCCGAGGTATCCCCTCCTTGGGGTCCCCCGAAGATGTAGGAACATCGATGGTGTTTACGGGAGCCATCCCCTAGGTCGGCCTCATCATCCTCGGAAAGGGCGCCAAGCTCCCGCTTCTTGGCGGGTTGCTTCTCCTTTGATGTGGTAGCTTGGTCAGACCGCTGCCACGTTAGGCTCCTCTTTTGTGGGATGTTTCCTTGCTTGCCAACAAACTGGCCCAGGTACCCTCTCTGGATAAGCTCTTCAATTTGCCGTCGGAGAATGACACATTCATCTGTATCATGTCCTGCTCTCCGATGGAATCGACAATACTGGTCGTGGTTGCGTTTAGCGGTCACCACATCGCATTCCTCCGGGAAGTCGATTAAACCCTGCTCCTCCGCGTAGTCGAGGATGGCCCCGACTGGCTGGGCAAGTGGAGATAATTGTCTGACGGGCAGGAGCGGTCCGCTCGGGACGTCCGCCTTGCCCTTACCTTTGTTCTTGTTACCTTTGTACTTGTTTTTGGCGCCGGTCTTGCCGTCAGCTTTCTCGGCACCAGAACCAGCTTCCTTCTTCTTCTCTTCCTTCCCACCTTCTTCCTCATCTCTCTTCTTTTGCACGGCGTCCTCCGCCTCGGCTTGGCGATCGGCACGACCGAGCGCTTCTTCGTACGTGGTGGGGGGACTTCTGACAAAATCTTTGTAAAGCTCACCAGACCGGATGGAGTTTGTGAGCATGGCCACCCCGGTCTTGTCATCAAGGCCCTGGACCTTGATTTACTCAGCCCTCCACCTCGCTAAGAAGGCGGACAATGATTCCTTCTTCCCCTGTTTTAGGCCGAACAGGTGGCTGAAGTTCCTCTTGACGTCTCGGGAGCTCGCAAACCTTAAGAGAAAGCGCTGAGCCAACTCGCGAAAGTTCATGATACTCCCATCAGGCAGAGAGTCGTACCACTCACGAGCTGGGCCGTCCAAGGTGGCAGAGAAACCGCGACATCGGATGGCATCCTCATACCCCATCATCACCATATAGGAGAGGTATCGAGATACATGATGTTGGGGGTCAGAGGCGCCCTTGTATGTTTCGATGGTGCAAGGCTTGTAGCCCCTTGGCAACGGCGCATCCATGACCGCCCGGGTGAAAGGTTCGGGTATCCGGAGGTCGGCCGTGTAGGGCTCCCCCCCCGACGACCCTTCTCCTCAACTCGTCAAGGCGTTGTCGTAGATCTTCCACCTCGGCCGGCGGTGGGTTCCCTCGGACAGCCCTAGCATGGGGCTGGGCATGTCCAGCAGCACCTCCAAGTCGCCTGTGTGCATGAGGTCGGGTCCCCACGTTTTGCCTTTCCATGGAGCCAGTCCGGCTGCTCGCTCGGTGAGAGTGGCGAGAGGACTCGCCTCCTTCCATCTGCATTGAGCGCCCCTGCTGGGCGCCCCTCCCCGCCTGCTGATGGGGTCGGCTGAGCTGCTGGGAGACTTCCTCCCTCCTGTTTTGGTCGGATCCAGAACGTCGCTCGTCACGCCGCCTGGAGGACACCTCCACATCTGCCGGCGTCTGTTGGCGGGCAGGCTCATCCACGTTTCCGCCAGACACCATCTGTTGGAAACCTTGAGTCAAGGCCCCCAGAACCCGAGTCGCCTCCTGTAGGGCCTCCACCCCGGCATTGAGTCGAACCGGGTCCATGCGCGGAGCATGACGTCGGCCTCCCCCCCGCCGGCTGCGGGCCGAGCGCTCACCTTGGGTGTGGTTGAGCGTCACCCTCAGGTCGCCGTGGCCTGACAATCGGTTCCGAAGGTCGCCTTGGGGCGCCGCCCCCCTGCCCTGTCCATGGTTGTCGAGGGCACGCTGGCGGCCTGACCCGGTGGATTCCTCGGTGTGGACTGAGACATGGTCACGTCGGGACGAGATTCCGGCCATCTTTCTGTGCGATTCCTGCTCAAGTGATTGTGAGAGACAATAGAGGCTCTCAATGAAAGCACCAATGTTGGTCCAAAATAGGACGCTCGTAGGCTTTTAGGAAAGCTACGAAAGAACACTCAAGCAAGAATCAAGAATATAATACGAGAATGGAAAGTTGCTCAGGAATTTTAGTTGCCAAGAATAGCATGTCTATTATTTGAATCGGACTTGCCTTTTATAGGCGATTACAAATGGTAACTGCCGAATAATAATGACTAAATTAATTACAATATTAATACGGAATTTAATACATGATTAATGGTGCATTGATTGTTGGCTGTTACGCTTCTTGGCTGGCTGGCTGGCGGGTCGGCCTGGCTGGCGGTTCGGACGCTTGAGCTTCTCGGGCGGCAGGCTTCCGTCGGGCTGGAAGGCCGGCTCCTAGCTAGGCCGCAAGGCAGGCTTCCGGTTGGCCGGCAGGCAGGCCGTCTTGGGCTTCCACTCCCTAACGGGCCCGGTTGGTTGGGTCGACTTGATATCTGGATCGCTGGGTCCACTAGCTGGGCTTGCCTGACGAGACGACAGTCCTGGGCTTGGGCCTGCTCATCCAAGTTTGGGGCCAAGTCTGATTAGGCGTTGGGCCTAGTCCTATAATCCCATCAATAAGCAATATAGTCGGTCATCCTCACCTTAAGTGAGCTTGAGCGCGTTCTACGCTTCTTGGTTGAACTTTGACTAATTCCGGCGAACTTTGACCAACTCCGGCGAACTTTGACCAACTCCGGCGAAACTCCGGCGAAGCTCAAAAATACTTTAATCAAGTTCCTAACAAGGTTTTAACATCATAAAACCTTAATCAATACAAATAACCTCTAAAAGGTTATTTTCCGGTGAACTTGTCGGTTTGGCTTCTAAGTCCGCTTTTGGACATAGAACCACTCTCCAACCTATTATTCTACATTCTTAGCATGTAGAAAAATCTCAAGGGTTCTCCATATGATATACATCCAATATGGTAGAAGAAAAATAAAGGAAAAGTTAATGTAAGGTTATTACCTTAATCTTTTCACACCTTTAGCACTTTTAGCTCCTTTTCTTGGGACTCTTTCTTGGAGAGTTCTCTTCAACAATGGAGAGGGAAGGGGAGAGCTTCTTTGCTCTTGCTGGGGGAAGGCTGGCCGCAGGAAATGAGGAGGATGGGGTGAGATAATCCTTTTTGTCTCATTGGGTCAAATGAGTGAAAAGAATGGGATCCACCCTATGTACCTTTGATGCTCTTTCATTCAACCCCAACATCTCACACTCCCCCTTTCCATTCCAGCCGCCCAAAGCCTTGAATAATGAGGCTAATTTCGTGGGTTGGCCCCCACCCATGTGGGAGGTCAACCCTTTTTGTCCAGAAGTGTACAATTTGTCCCGAAAGTTGTATTTTTCGGACTGTTTTAATTATATTTTATTTTATCGGGTCAAATAAAATATATTACGTGTTCTCAATCGTCATGACCCTTATAGTGAATATACATTCCCCAACTTTCATTTATAGGTCTCCGAAATCCAATTTCGGGCTATTATCCGTTAAATTACCAATACCGGTAATTGAGCCGCTTTTGACCAATCGGTCAACATTAGGTCATTGCTTTGGACCAAATAAATTATCCCCCTCTATATAAATATTATTTCGACCAAGTTGAATAAAATATACGGTCTCGGGAATATCGGGCGGCTCCGCTCCCAGTGTGGGTCCCGCGCGCGAATTTACTATTCACGCAAAAGAAGTATTAAAAATTCACAACTTCGTATACTCATTAACCATTCCGTAAGGTTCAATACATTATACTTTTAAAAGTAAATACATTTGGGGACGGTGTTACAAGTTCACCCCCCCTTATTTGGGATTTCGTCCCCGAAATCCACGTGTCTAATCGAAAAGAAACGGGTATTGCTCCCTCATTGAGACCTCAGTCTCCCAGGTTTCTTCTTCGACTCGATCACTCCTCCAAAGAACTTTTACCATCGGAATCTCCTTGTTCCTCAGTTTCTTCACCTGTTGACCCACAATCTTTACTGGTTCCACCGCATATTGTAGATCTTCACGTATCTCCACCGGTGGCTTCTCAAGAATATGAGATGGATCTCTCACGTATTTCTTGAGCATCGATACATGAAACACGTCGTGTATCTTCTCAAGTTCTGGCGTCAACTTGAGACGGTATGCCACAGCCCCTATCCTTTCAAGTATTTCAAATGGACCAATGTATCTGGGGTTAAGCTTTCCCCTCGATATAAATCGGATGATACCCTTCCAAGGAGAAATCCTTAGGAAGACCCTATCACCGACTTCAAACTCCAATGGCCTTCTTCGTTTGTCGGCATAACTCTTCTGCCGATCTTGGGCAGCCTTGAGTCTGTCCTGAATGACTTTCACCTTGGCCTTGGTGATTTCAACAAGTTCAATCCCTTCGAGCTTGGCCTCGCCAACCTCGTCCCAACACAACGGCGTTCTGCATTTCCTCCCATACAATGCC